AGTGCATGCTTGGAAGTTTTAGTGTGATTCAAATGATTTCTGTGTGAAGGGATGCCTCTACATTCAATAGTTGGATGTGTGTGTATTTTCTGATGTAACACTGTCAAACAAGCTCGTCAGCAGTATGTATTCATCGTCACATGATGTCACCCCCTTCACGTCGTCCCACCTTCAGCTTCCAGCACTCAAAACATCAACCTAAATAATGGCACCATGGTGACTGCCTGTCACTGAAACCTTCCCATTCACACTCCAATCAGATCTGTGGATTACTGTGCTTGTGATAAGTGGCTTTTGAGAGCTAATACAAATCCCCTTGTTTGTAAACACTGCAACATTCCCTAAGTCGATTACAGGCTAATGGCATTTGTGCCTGCCAGAGAGGATGCACGAATACATACAGCATAAGGAAGATTTGGAGAATATAAATGCAAATACACGCGCATTCAAGAGTATGTCAACTGTTTTAATTATGGTCTGCATGTAAGAAGGCGTGACATTTCTAATAGTCCACAGAGATTTAAAGACTGGGCTGAAATGGAGGAACGCCTGTGAGTGCAACAGGTCATCCATGTGAAATAAAAAAAGATTCTCCCAAATCGACACATTAGGGAGCTTTGGAATCAAGCCTTCAGCTTCTTTTAATTGCACGGGTTTATGCCGAGGTACAGCGGTGTCACCAGAAACCAGAGGTAATGGAAATTTATGGTTATAAAGCTATTAGCGGCTTCATTTTTATGTCGGTTTGGATGCACCCTCCTGGGGCCGTGGTGGGTGTTTAAAAAACGTCTTTTTGGAAGTTAGGGTGAGGTTAGGTTCAGCCGTGCAGCTGAGTCGTGCTCCGACAGTAAGGGGGGGGGGGGGGGGGGACCAAACAGTTCCTTACACTGACGCTTTTAGCTGAAGTTCTCGCCTGTTTCATGCTGCATTTTTTGCTCTCTCCACCCTGACTGTGTTGTGCTCCCTGGAGGGTGGAGGGTTCATGCAAGACAGTGCAGCAAGATATTTCCCAAAATAAAAAATACAAAGCAAATGGACCAAGGGTGCAGGGTTTATTCTAAAGGGTTTTCTATATTACTGCTACACTGACCGGCATGCTGCTTTGTGTGTGTGTGTGTGTGTGTGTGTGTGTGTGTGTGTGTGTGAGAGAGAGTAAGAAGAAAGTGAGAGGTTTTGTGTGCATGCATCTCACATCTGTGTATTCCCTTCCTATTGCGAATTCAGCAGCAGACTCATGCAAGTAAAGCTCTCTAAGTGCAGAGAAATGTCACAAATAATTTGCACACATACACAAACACAAAGTGGCCTATAGTCAACATCAACAACCACATACACCGAGCGTAGATCGTAGCTGACGGAGGAGTCTGTGCTCGCATAGAAAAGCGCAGAAACTCACACACTGTACTAAGCCTGTATGCTGCATCAGAACAGTGTGGAAGATGAGACTTTATTGATCCCCAGAGAGGAAATTTAAGAGCTGCAGGAGCACAAGAAACAGACCAAAGAGGTTCAAGATGACCTATAGGTAATTACATTCACAGCTTTGTTATTTTCCACTTTATTTAAATGTTAGGTATTGAAATAGCTGAGTATACACTGATATATTATACACAGTGATCCTACCAACAAATACTGTTCAAATCTGTTAAAATAATGTATTCATATGAGTGGTAACTTCAAATGGGAGACATGAAGTATATTGTAGAGAGAGCGCATAGAGGAGAGAGATATTGAGAGCAGGTGGAGGAATGTAAGCGAATGGGACAGGGTGCTATCCATCTCTTAGGATCAGATCGATCACCAAGTGGACTGATCGGTTACACCCAACTTCTGTGTGTGCTTCTGTGTGTGTGTGTGTGTGTGTGTGTGTGTGTGTGTGTGTGAGAAAGTTTCAAGACTGCACTGCTCTAGTTGTAAATGAGATCTGCTCTCTCTAATATGCAGAGATGAGGGGAGAGGGAGATTCAGTGGTGGAAGAAGAAAGATGTCAGGGAGGTAGGAAGTCGTAGGAGGAGTGAGGAAGAGGTGAGAGAAAAATGGAGGCAGGGGAAAATGAAGAGATGAAGCAGATGGCAAGGAAGGATGGGCTGAAAAGTTAGACAAATGAAGGAGGCGATGGAGGAAAGGAGAAATGAGAAATAAATTGTGTTTCTGAATACAGCAGAAAATAGACTTATATGGTGTGTGTGTGGAAAGTAAGATCTGAGTGTGTGCGTGTATAATTTTGGACTGGAAGTATGAGCAGGAGGGGCAAGGAGACATGGAGGGCAGCAGAATCAGCAAGCGATAGAGACACGAGAGGAAAAAGACTACTGGCAGAGGAGGGGGAGAAAGAGGGGGCGAAGGTGTCGAGGTAAAGGTGTGACTGATAACATTGTCGTGCTCCGGCTGCCTCAAGGGCAGACAGAGACGGAGAGAAAGAAAGAGCGGGAATGAGACATAAAGAAAGAAAATGTAGAAATTCACAGAGCAGCCAGAGGCGGAGATGTTTATAAGATGGGAGGTGAGCAAGGATGGAGAGACGGGATAGAAGAAGACAGTGCGGTGTGAGGTAAGTGGTGCGAGGAGAGACGGCAAGGAGACATGAGAAGGATTCCTCAGAAGAGTCGGGGGAAGGAGAGGCAGAAGAGGCATGACCCAAGGAGAAGGTTGTGAAGACTTTTCATGTGGAGGAAGAGGGGGCGAAAATAAAAAATAAAAAGAGTATGGGAAAGTGTCAGAAGAAAGCAGGGGGGGTAAATTATTACTAGAGTGCAGAGAAAGAGAAAGTAGAGGAGAAAGAAGACTAGGAAAGATAAGAAACAGGGAGTCAAGGAAAGATTAAGGTCAATTGTAGGAGTGGAGACACAGACTGCACAACAGGGGAGAGCAGGATTGTATTGATATTCAGCAAGCCCCGCTGAAAGAAAGCCGACTTTGAAGAGAGTATTAGCAAAGTACGGGCTAAGCTGGTATAGCGCAGGACAGAAGCACCCTGCTTATTCGACAACAACACCTGATGCGAGGCCTTCTCAGGGGCCGCGGGTTTTTTTTTTTTTCTTTTTCCGGGGCATTCTGACATTTTAGTATGCACGCCTCTGCAGGAGCTCAGGAGCAGTCGACTCCCAGCCTCCCTGGGGACAGGCTGTCACTGCAGGCATTCGTGACTTTGTCCCCCCCTCCCCCACACACACACACATACACATCAACCGTCTCCTTTCTGCAAACAAGTTTTTTTTTTTTTTTTCAGATTTTGAAACTGATGACACCAGACATCAGGCAATAACTATCTGTGGTACCCATTGCTAAGCTGGAGTGTGTATGGAGGTTGTATTTTTAGATTTGGCTTGAGAAAGGGAATGAGGTTCTGGTAGTCATTACAGCCAAGAGCCACTTGGGTATTTAGTGTTGAGTACTAAAAAAGCAAAAAAAAAATCGACAACAAAGCTGTGTTTTCTAACACTTGAGGCTCTGTAGCCCATTAAAGGTCGTATGAATGGGAACAAACCTGCCTTTTTGCACGTCCTTTCAAATTTAACTGCATTTCTCTCCTTAACTAATTGCCCATCAGTTTAATGTTCCGCCCTAACATCCTGTTTGAAAAGGAAACGCATGACATTAAGGAAGTAATGATACCATTGGTAGGAGCCTAAGGTAATCCATATGTGATCTATTCCCATCGTCTAAGAGGGGGTTACTACTTCTTTCCTTCCTCCTCTTGCTTTAACACTCGGGAGCATTTAGAGGCGAGAGATAAAACAAATCATTATTTTAAGCACAAGGTTTCTTCGTCTTTTTGATGTAGACTGAAGGTTTTAAAAATAGGACACTGTAGTCGGTCTAATGGCGCTAATGGAGCACACATTTTTTGGAAGTAGACCAAAGCAAAGCATGTAGTAGGGAGGAGAATGAAAGATGCGTCTGGAAAGCCCCCCCCCCCCCCCCCCCCGTGCTTTGATATCGACACAGCTTCGGGATCTGAGCTAAACGGTAAAGCCCTCTTCTAGTTTCACGCAGAAAGAGCAAAGCCAGCAACTGATGGAAAATATCGAGCCAGCAATTTGCGTCAACCTGTACAGTCAGCGTGATATACGGTTGTGCCTGGTCGTTACTCAAAGTATCAGCTTGCATACATTATACATCACTACAACCGCCGCGCTCTACCTTCCTGAGCGAAGTTTCCCAGATTGCTTCGCCTGAAAATGCACCCCTCTGTCTACAACGACGGTGGCTGCTCTGTGCGTGTGTGTGTGTGTCTGCCTCTGACTCACCGTCTCCTCTTCTTGTCTCCTTTCCATAGTCACTGTGACCGTTATCAACACTCCCTGTCACTCTCTCTGTATCTAGGTTACAGTTGCTATGCCAACTAATATGCATGGCAATCACTGGCATGGCAGTGACTCATCTCTATAACATCGTCGCACAGCTGTGTTTAGATGCTAAGGATGTCTGAGACAACGGTGGGGAGTTAGTATGTGTTGACTGTGCTTGACTTAAGTCCTGCTGTGTAATCAGGACCGCTAAGCTTCCGATCCAATTTTGATTCCCTGACCTACAGTCGTAAGAAAAGGGTCTGATAATTTAACATTTGACTCTTCTACTTTAATAGGTTTCTAGGTAACTGTTTCTATGGTGCCTGGCTGTGCTCAGTCTTTTGGGATGTTGTTGCTAGGCAATGTGTGGTAGCGGTGAAGAGTTGGACATGTGGGAGGGTACAGTAGGAATGATGTTGCATGGGCGTCAACCATTTTTTCCAATATGGATTTTTTTTTTTTCATGCTTTAAAGCACCAAGTGGGCATAAGTGCAGAGTGGTAATCATCTAAGAGAAGGCCTTGGCCCACACAAGTGTGCATGTGTAGAACAGGCTCTTGTTCCAGGTCTGTCTAGTCAGAGTAGGAGGAAAACTGGAAACCAGACACACACACACAAAAAAAAAACACACTTCACACACCTCGATTAAAACTGTGTCTATGCTGGGATCAGGACTAAACTCCAGTCTCCTTCTTTGTCTCCCTCTAGGTCTGTGGTCCGCCAGGCGTTCTACCATGCCTGTCCCCCCAACCCTCAATCCCAGCAGACATAAACACCTGCCCCACGCACACCTCCATACGGAACAAAGGGCGGAAAGCTCCACCGTTCCTTCCCTCTTCCCTCCGTCCATCTTCTCGCTCTCTCTTCTTCCCCCTCTCCTCGTCTCATCTCTCTCCTCCTCATCCCACCTCTTCCACTGCGCCTGTCCCAGAGCGACGAAAAGAACCCTCCCCGACTCTGGTCCCCTCCCGGCGTTTCACTGGCTGACCCTGGTCACATGCTGCCTGTTGCCTTCGCTGATCGGAGCAGGGGAGACTTGGGGTATGGTCTCAGCCTGTCCCTTCCACTGTGTCTGTCGGAATCTTTCCGAGTCACTCAGCACGCTCTGCGCCGACAAGGGCCTCCTGTTTGTCCCCCCGCACGTCGACCGGCGCACAGTCGAGCTAAGACTGGCGGATAACTTTATCACTGAGGTTGGAGGGATAGACTTCGTCAACATGTCGGGACTGGTTGATTTGACTCTGTCCAGGAATACCATCAACCTCATCAAACCCATGGCCTTCGCCGACCTGGAGAGCTTGAGGTCGCTTCATTTGGATGGTGAGCCCTTTTATTTGAAATCTATAACGCTGCTATCCTAAAACAGCTAAATTACACTATCGTAAAATACTCACATGAATCAAGATCTTGGCAACACTGAAGTGAAACCTCTGAGTAATGTTTCTATTTTCAGGTAATCGCTTGACAACAATTGGACCCAGGGACCTTACTGGTTTGGCCAATCTGCAACACCTGATCGTCAACAACAACCAGCTGGTCAAAGTCTCTGTCCAGGCCTTTGATGACTTCTTGCTCACATTAGAAGACCTCGACATGTCCTACAATAACCTCAGGAGGTAAAAGCGTCTGCCTCCGTTGTGATCCCCCCGACAAGCATCTGTTCCGCTTTGTTAAGTAGAAGCACAGTAATACTCTGGAGTTTCCCATGCTCACGTCTCAGTCTGCAGTGTGCGCAGCAGACACGCAGCTCAGCTCCCTAAATTCAGGGCACAGTGGACGTGTCTCGAGTGATATTGCGAGCATCAGCGAACACAATGAAGAGAAACCGGCGCACGCTGCGTAGGCTGGGGCGGGAGGACTAAAAGCTTAGGAAATTCAAAGTGAATCAATTTTGATGAAGTTCTTAATTTCTTTGACTTCGATCTTGGATTAGATGAGTGCGCACCTGAACCTGCCCACTGTGAAAGAATGTGCATTGCTTCAGCTGTTCTACATGGATCGTCTTTTAGTGTCCTATGAAGTATTCCCTCTTCTACATATGGGGCAATATAGACTCTTAAAGCATCACTAGTTCTGCTTCTGTATAAAATAAATCAGAATAATGATGATATTCTTATCAATCTCCTCTTGTAGTGGCCCGCTGCGCTGATAAATTCAGAAGCTTTCGGCTGTCAGGTTTGATTCAGGTGATTCATTTGTCTCCTCTACAGGAGCTCTCTGGCCTCACTCAAACCTTCACCAGGTCAAAGAAATGTAGTTTTAATGATGCAGATTAGTAACTGCCATTGGGCGTTTGTTCCAGTTTACATATAGGAGTCTTTACAAACTGATATTCAAAGTGAGCCTGCATCACTGATTCCTTCTCGTTAAAGTAAAACGCAAAAATAACTGAGAACATTTAATCAGAAAACTTTTATTTTCTGGTAGAGGAAGAGATTTTCCAGGTGGGGAGGCCCACCTGTGTAATTTAATAAGGGAGGAAAGTGGAAACACCTGGCGCCTCCTGCAGCTTAGATTTGTTCCAATGCAGCTTTTAGCAGAGTTTTGCAGAGCAGCTCTGGAAGCTGAACTCAGCTCACATGGGGAATATTCTGGGACACTGCTGGTTAAGCAGTGAGCCAAGATTTGTTATTGCCCACTTGAATCTTCATTCCTAAAAAAGAAAACGTGCAAAAATGATGGGTAGTGTTATTTCGCTGGCATCTGTTTTTCCCACATTTTACTACTCTGTATCAATGTGTGTTTGTAAGACTGATGAAGTAACATAAAACAAACTTCAGTTAAGTCTACTCTTAACCAAAAACATGACTTCATAAATCATAGCTCTTTGTAACTCTTGTAGGTTGCTTGTCTATTGTAAGGAAGCTTTGTACTGTATTATTTAGTTATATAATTTAATGCATTCTATTATGCTGGTTCTCAGTCATCAGCTTTGACTCACTCATAAGTCCAAAACAGCTCTTAAGAGAATGTCTGCACATAATGAATACTTAATGACAACAGCAACGGGTCGCAGATGGGACTGTTGAAACCCAGAAAAAGGAGACGGATTGAGAAGCATCTGTTGTTGTTGTCTGTCATTGCCGTCACCATTAATTAGACTTTGCTTATTCATGTTTTCTGCAGAGTAAGATGCTTAGAGCATTAAGAGTGAACTTTGAATGTCGCAGAGCAGCACACTTCCTGCTTCATCAGGTTCATTTTTTTGTAGTGTCTCAGGGGAGAGAAGCGTCATATAGTTCAATCTATCGTCACAGCTGCCTTTTCTTTCAAGACATATTCTGTAAATGTTCCACTCTTACGCAAGGAAAGATGATCAATGTAGTCAAATATCTCAAATTATTCTTGATGTATTCCTCTGTCTGTAACAGGGTGCCATGGGAGTCCATACAGAACATGGCCAGTCTGCACACACTCAACCTGGACCACAACTTGATAGACCACATAGCCGAAGGAGTCTTCGGAGAGCTGTATAAGCTTGCGAGGCTGGATATGACCTCCAACAGGCTGCGAACCCTGCCTCCTGATCCCCTCTTTGCAAGGTAGCTCTTAAGCTTTGTCTTTTATGTTTCTCTAAGAAGTGGCTCAGTGGAAATGTTACTTTGCAGACATTAACACAGAGACACCAAAGTGGGTTTTTTTTTTCTAACAGGGAAGCTTTTGAAACACAGGGAGACATTGTTAGTGTCACTCCGCTCACTATCTATTTTGTTATCTCATTATTCTTTGTGTTACAAAGAGAGCCAAAAGAGTGAGTTTCTAACAGTGCGTATGCATTTGCAAAGGTTTAGACGCTTACGTTATTGTACACATTTCATTAAATGGAATTAATGCACCACTGTCAGGGACCATCTTTTAAAAAAACTACTTTAGAATTTACCTTACCTAGTCCTGTTTTATACCATCGTATTTGCATTTTATCCTTATTGTAATTTGCACAGGCCAGCTGTGAGGTGCATATAACGGCTCTATTCCCCAGCATCCTCTTGGTTAGTTTTGCGACTGATTTTTTTTACATCATTTTCATGATGACTTGTTTTACTCATTTTAGGCAGTGAGTAGTGAAGTCTGAAGTCTTGCTGATGCAAGGACAGAATTTAATAGGAGATGTGTTTTTTTAATGTCTTTCAACTCCTGAGACCCTCGTTGATTAGAAATGAAATACTCCCCAAACTTAACCTTGAAGATTATTCATTTGTGTAATTCAAGATTGTTTTTTTTTTCTCCCCCTTCAGGTCCCAAACAGGTGCAATAAGCCCCACCCCCTACAACACTATCATAAGCTTGAATTTTGGAGGGAATCCATTCCACTGCAATTGCGAACTGCTGTGGTTAAGACGCCTCATCCGTGGTGACGACATGGAAACTTGTGCCACACCTGCTCACCTAGCTGGAAGGTGAATATCACCGATTGATGAGCCCATCTTTAATCTCAAGTGAAGAAAAGGAGTAGTGACATTTCAGCAATGCGTTCACAATTAATATACACAGATCAATGTTTTCCGACTTTCTCTAGGCCAGTCACACCTACAGATTTTTATCTGGCCCCGTCTAAGCACATTTCCAAATTCAGGCCTCAAGATTTTTAACTCCTTTATTGGACCATCATGTTTGCAAGAATAGAGCTGGAGCTGAATTCAAAGGAAAGGTGCGCCTAAAGGAATGACTTTCTGAAAGCACGATTTGAAACAGCAACGGTCATTCTTATGAAGCATTCTTTAAAGGTTGAGAAGGAAAATGAGCATCTGTTGTTGTTATACGTCATTGCTGGCACCATTAATTACTCCCTGCTACATCCTGTTTTCTGCAGTGGCAATGAAAATTATTCAGACGGTGGTGCGCTGTTGACCTTTACTCTTAAATTGATCAACAGGAGCACTTAGATCTTTAGGTTAATGTACTTCATTAATCTGCCAACGATATCAGGGGCAGTAAACAAGACAAGTCCCTGCTCTTAGCCCGAAGAGGTGATATATCACTCCCTTAGTTTCTCTCATTGGCCTGATCCTTTCCCCCTTCTTTTTCCCACAGGTATTTCTGGTCAATTCCTGAGGAGGAATTTACATGTGAGCCACCTCTCATCACCCGCCACACTCACAAGCTGTGGGTGCTGGAGGGCCAGCGGGCCACGCTAAAATGCCGTTCCATTGGGGACCCTGAGCCAGTGGTCCACTGGGTTTCACCTGATGACCGAATAATTGCAAATTCATCTCGGATCAGTTCCTTCAGCAACGGGACCTTGGATATGTTAGTTACAGTTGCCCGGGATGACGGGGCTTACACGTGTATTGCAATAAACGCAGCGGGCGAAGCGACTGCCACCGTCGATCTGAAAATAATCCCCTTGCCTCACCGGGGCGGAACAGGTGGAAACACAGGGAATAACAATGTGAACACCAAAAACAACAGGAACGCGACAAATGGGATTTTACGGACAGATCCAGGATCCTCAGATATCAGTTCAGGGAAAAATGGAGGGATTAACAATGGCGCAGGCCGTGTAGGAGAGATGGACGATGGGAGGAATGTTGGAGGGGAGGACGAGAAGGGTGATGGCAGCAGGGCCTCTGAAGGAGAGAGGGTCGATGGAGGGAGCATGGAGGAGGTAGAGGAGGACGAAGAGGAAGAAAGGATGATTGGAGTACAAGGAGTAACTTCAACATCAGCACAAGTCAGATGGGATTTGGGGCGTTTGTCCGCTGCTTATGTTGTCTGGATGTATCAGATACAATACAACTGCACCGCCGACGAGACCCTCATCTACAGGTCAGTTCAACTTTCCTATTTATTACTCACTATTTGAATTGCAGGAGCAAATGTGAAAGCTTACTTTTGTGGTAGATTGGATCCTTGCCGGAACAGCAACCTCAAATCACTTTTTGATAGAATATCTTCCCCTTTCGAAATGCTGATATTCTGTTTTCATGCAAAACTCCTTAAATATTTATCCATTACAGCATGACACAGTAGTGGTGCAACTGTTCACCTTGTACATGGATGGTTGGATAGCTCAAGGGAAGGATGAATGGGGAGACAGATGAAGGGATAGAGGGGCGAAGGTAGTAAATAATTCATCTCCATCGCTGTTTGACACTCAAATCCATGTGGTAGATAGTCAGTGCATAAGGATGAGAGCCGATTGGGAATAGAACTTGCTGAATGTTAAGGGAATAAAGGGGAGGATGGATACATGATATAACGTTTGACCCTTGATGTTGCATTGGGTTAATAAAGCAGTAGCTTGTTCCCATGTAAATGAACATCATTGATGTAGAGATCCGGATTCACCAGAAGCAAAATGATCAAACATTTAAAACGTGGATAAAAGTTAACGGCTGTAATGTTTTTTTTTTTTTATAAATGACTGACGCACCCTGCCTTGAAAGTCCAAAGAAAGTCTGAGTGGGAAAAAAAAAAAATGGTGTGGAAAATGAATTTGTGCAAGCCAAAAAATGCTTTGCAAACGCTGCCAATGTTTAGTTACGGTTCTAATGTGTTGCTTCAAACCACTTTGAAGACAGTACCTATGGGTGTTGCAAAAACAAAAAAAAAAAAAAAGGAGGTGGAGGAATACCACTGTAGACCCTTGTAACAGGCGGAGAGAGAAAAACGAGGAATAGGAGGAACAAATAAAATGAAGAGTGCCTGTGAAACAAAGCTTTTTGTGTTACTTATCTGAGTAAGAGGTCAAAGTTAAGAGTGCCGGGGTTGAGTTTTGATACTGTCAAGATCTCTGATGCATTACAAAAAAAAGTTTGCTTAGTGGAAAACCAGTTTCTTTAAAGTAACAAAGGTATGGATGGAAGGTCAGAATGCAGATCATGAGTAAACCTGCCTGAACTGAATGGATGCATTCTCTTCTTTCAAACAAGACAAGGTTGCTTGTCTTTATTGTGTTCCTACATATAGAAGACTCTTTCATTGTACATAAGTTAAGGTGACATGTACTCAAGGTTTAAGACCATTTATTGAACAGATGCAGCAAGATGATAAGAGGCAGAGAGAGAAGAGGTATAGGAAGGAAATTAAATCATGGTATTATTGTTTGGTTTTGAAATCCCTCTGCATTAATGCATGGAATAACGTTTTGCCTTAGATAAGATGGTATTGCGCTGTAAGTGGTACTGAGAAGGGTTGAACGGAGCTAACCTTAAAGAATGAAGCAGATCAGGGAGAAAAACAGATCCAGAGATGATTGGAAATATGAAAAACTGGTGTGCCGGTATAATCACAAGGACTGAGGGAAAATAAGGAAGAATTGAAGATGGTAGCCAAAAGGTGAAGCTGAAAAAAAAAAAAAAAAAAAAAAATCATAATTTGAGTGATGGATAGAGCCAGAAGGGAACTGGTGAATTTTTAAGATAGGGATGATGCCTCAGAGATTTCAGAAATAGGTTGAGGAAAGGGATTGAGGGAGAAGTGGGAAGATCAGAGATGGGCTTTACCCAAATCACCTTGGGAGAGATTGAGATGAAAGAGCGATGGGTTAGATTTAGTAGAATGGCAACTTAAAAGGGGGGGAAGGGGGAGAAGGGGTCATCAAGGAAAAAAATTCAAGGGGTGGAGATACACTAAGCATGGGAGGTATTTAAACATCACATTAATAAAGGAAGAGATAAAAAAATGAGTATGGAAATCGAAGGAAAAAGTTGGAGAGAACAGAACTTTAAAATAAAAGTAAGACACTCAACAACAACAAAACATAATAATAAAATCTCAAGGGAATTGGAAGAAGGGAAAATGGAGATGGCGAGGTGGTTTGACAAAAGCCTCCACCACTAGATTGGGTTGGTGAATGAAAAGGATGGAGGTGAAGAGGCGTCTCGCTGAAATGCCATATCAAAACAGACGAGCGCAATTTGTGCACAGTCCTAGACACGTGTGGCAAATTACACATGGAGAACTAATTACATGATTGAATTGAATGAACTGAATGAGATCTTAGCTCCTTTGCCGATGAGTTAATAGGTGTGTTAATATCTCTACAGAAAACACTCTGATAATAGAGGAGCTGGCTTGCTCGTGGATGTTGAAAGTGTATTGTTCCAGGAAAACAAAGAAAAGAAATTTAGAGAAACACACGAGAACCGCCTCATACAAAAGTAAAAAAAAAAAAAAAAGTTGAAATGGTTTAAACATTTACATTGAGCTTGATAAAGACCGTTTATGTTGCAGGTTGGTTGTAATGGATTGTGTAACATTCAACAGCTGCTTATAGTATTAATTCAAATTCCCAGCAGCCCTGGCTAAACAACAGGTGATACAGATGGACTGTCCTTCTGAGGGGAGCAGACACAAAGAAATAATGGAACAGCACTATCAGCGTAATGTGAAGGCTCAGCTGTGCAGTTTGAGACAAGAAAATGCCAATATAGACTCAAAGAAGCTCGCACAGAAGCAAAATAGAGGAGAGATAAGCTCACAAAGACTCACAGGAGAGATGCTGAAACTCAGCAAGGAGGGAGTAAGCGATCTAAAGTTTGACTAAACTCTAAACAAATATCTCTGCCAACAAAACAGGGGCGGGGATAACTGACTCTCCGAGGGGAGATAGGGCTATAGTGGCTATCTTGAAGGTGAAATTGAGATAGAAGCTCGTCTTGATGGAAAAGAGAAGAAGGAGGGTCAAAGAGGAGACACAAAGTCTGAGGGCTCTGAGGTAGGAAGCAGGGAAAATCGGTCTCAAAGGAGAGATAAAGAGGAAATGGAAGGGGGGCAGCATATGAAAGGAAGCATACCACAATGCAGCGGAGGATTTCCAGTATGGATTTCTATCATGCTATCAGTGTGCCAGTGCCAGGCACAATACCACACTAGCTAGCAAGACTGTGAAGCGAGGAGTCAGCCAAAGGGAGTCTGGCTCATATATTCAAAAGGGAAAGAATGGATGAGCGAGATTTCATGCTTTCTATCCGGGATTTGTGTTTGTATTTTGTTGTTGTGGCTGGCTGTTTGTGTGCTTTGGCAGACACTTCGCCTGGCTGTATGGAGCTGAGGAAAGGGAAGGCGCTGGACAGGGAGAGAAAGGGGGGAAAAAAAAGGGATTTAGGAATGGAAGCGAGGAAAATAAAACTTACGGTCAAACAAATGCAAAAAGTCAGACACAAAGTGTGACAGACATCATATATGGAAGAGCAGAGCTGCCAGATCTGATCTTGGTTTTTTTAAATCAGTTGAATGCCGGACAACACCTGCCCCACTTTCACCAAATATAGTCTTGTCCGGACGGCTTCATGTGACAGGACCAGGTGGGGAGTCCTCAGCTGGGCACCAATGACCTTGTCATCCTTAGTTCCACTGAAACCATCAACTGAGCCTCCCACCTTGAGTTCCCCACTTTGATTTAAATGCAAAACAAATTCCTTGATGACTTAATGTGAATACCAGCTAAAGAATATCCAAGGATCCCCGAAGGTTCCCGGTTGAATGTGAGTGGTAACCAAATGGACATGTCTTCCTTGCCCACACATGGGTACAGCCTACCTGAAGGCCCCCCATGATAATGAGGCAAGTTTTGTAAGAGCACCTCGTGGTACCATCTGTTAGGAGAAGTAGTTTTATACAACATGTGTTATTTTAACCAGGCCATGCATGAAGGCCTGAGCAAAACTGTTCAGTTGTACCAGCACCGGAAAAGAAAGCCAACAAGGCCGGACACAGTCGAAAAGGCCTTACAGAACATTGCATCACCCTGAAACTAAGTGTGTCATTTTTTTTTTTGTGTGTGTTGAGGATGTGTCAGACACATTTTGAGTCCGTCAAAGTTTTTGTATTGAATAATACTGTAAAATGTTCTGGTGTGTTTCTCCACCCTCTGTAAAAATAGATGGTAGACAACAAGCTGAAATACAGTCCTAAGTCTGTAACAGTGTTGAAAACTAGACTAGGGCATAACCACTCAAAGCAACTGGAATAATTCATAGGAATTGCATCCAATTGTTCAGTACAGGTGTCATTGAGTCCAATCTCTGTGTGTATACAGTAACTGAAATACATTATTCAATGTATCTGAATTATATAAGAGGCAGCCTGTAGCTTTCTGTGGTGCTGGTGGAGGTAGTTTGAGAAAAATAAAAAGGGTAATCTGTTGAGATAGAAGTTTTCAATACTTTATGAATCACTGCGATGTGAGATATGTCAGTGGGGAGATTTGTACGCCACTTGCCACACAAATAATTTTGATTAGGTTTGGAGGTCTTCTAAGTCCGCAGACAATCGTGTAAGGACTCTAAGCCCACCACGTCTCCTCAGTCTCAACCTAACAACCTTCCTGCCAGCCACTCCCACACAATCACAGGAACAGAGAGAGGGAGAAGTTTGAGAGAAAATCATGAATGTTTAGGATCAGGCACGGGAGGAACAGCTAAAATGAGACAGGGAGAGAGAGCTTGACAACCATAGGAAGGAGCATGCCGAGACACAGACAGACGGGAGCATGGGTAATGAGTCACAGAAAGAGAAGAAGATGAAAGGATTAAACAAACAGGACCTGAAAATAAGATGCATGACAAGACCACTCGCTTGCAGCCGCTAACTATGCCGCATATTTGACTAAATATTAGAGAGTACGGAGCTGATTTTAAACTACATCTAAAAATATACCAGAATGCCAGCATGAGCCTACGAGAAATCCTGCAAGAAACAAGATAATGGCATCTGCTGAGACAGCGATAGATGAGGTTTAAAGAGAAATGTATAAACGTTGGGGAGGGTGGAGGAATGTAGAGACAAAGATGGAGAAAAAGGGAAGTAGAAGTGGGACTACA